GTCTTCCACACTGCAGGTGGATTCTTTACCAGCTGAGCAATGAGGGAAGCCCCAACAGGACTTTAAGCATTAAAAAAAAAGAAATCCTGATCTTAAGGAAGTACAGACATTATTAAGTCCCATGCATTTTTTAAAAATAGAAATATATAGTTATTCATGAATTATGAAGGTGACAAAGAAAAAAATTTGTCACTGGACTAAGAAGGCAATAAGGAGCTAATCATCTCCAATGAAGCAGCTGACAAAAGATTAACAGGTCAGAGATAAAGGTGGTCCTTTCTCTGAGTCAAGCAATTCATCAACCTGAGTCCAGAGACTGAGCAAAAGACTGGCACCTTCCTCTCAGTTCCCACTCTTCCCCTTTGTCAGGATTCTCTATACCCCTTTCCCCATCCCATTAAGGCCCAGCTTCCAAGGGAAATTCCCTTCAGATGGAGCCTAAGCCTAGATATGACAGGGTGAGTCTTTGTTCTCATGGCCAGGACCTAGAGGAATGAAAAGGAACTGCTATTTGCTGAGGAACCTACTCTGTACCAGTTATTGTGTTAATTTAGGAACACTCACTAAATCTCACAGTAATAATAAGTAATGACCCCATTTTACAGATGAGGAATGTGTGTTCAAGGTCACACAGCTAAGCAATGACAGAGCTGGTCCAAGAACCTAGTAATGACAACCTCCAGTGTATTTCTATACCCCTGACCACCTCAAAATGGAGTGGGATGTGGTCCAGACATTCTAGGTTGGAACTCAGAATACATTATTCTCCAAAACACTATCATAAGCATATGTTAGAATCTTGCTGTTGTTTAGTAGCTCAATCGTATTTGACTCTTTGTGATCCATGGACTGTAGCCCACCAGGCTCCTCCATCCAAGGGATTTCCCAGGCAAGAATACCGGAGTAGAGTGCCATTTCCTTCTCCAGGGGATTTTCTCAACCCAGAGATTCCACGGATCCTGCTTGGCAGGCAGATTCTTTATCAGTGAGCTGCCATGGAAGCCCCCAGGTTTAGAGTCTACAGTACCACTAATACATAATGGCACACAAACAGTTAACAAAGTTTTGGGACCCTGGCTTGGAAATCTACATACTCTGTTATTTTATCCCTGTAAGGACACTGTTCAAAATGACAAAAGTGGTCTTGAAATTTTATTTGGGGAATACCAGAGGTTCTTCAGTGAGGCTTTTCCTTAAGAATATTTTCTTCCATCCAAAAAAAAAAAAAAAATCAGTAAGGATAGAAACCATTTTGCTCTGTTAATTTGTAAGAACAATGACACCAGAAGACACCTGTGGGAAATGTGCTTATCTGACCAGGTGCTCATTGACAGTGTGCTGTCATTTGAATAAAACATCATACTAAACCCTACAGACTAGAGCTTATGATAGAAATACCACAGACTATAGCCGTACAGCTGATATGCCTGTAATCTACTGACAAAACGCAGTCCTTAGCAAAGTGAAAGCAGATGTCTGGTCTGAAATCAGATGTCTGGGGACTTGTCTCTCTCTTGGCTTCCAGAGCAACATTAGCTACACTAAATACACAGCTTAGCTGTATGTTAAAACCCACAACTTGGCAAAATCATGACAGTTTGGATGTGAAGCATCAGCATTTCTATTGTAATTCTTATAAACCAAAGACATTTCTGAAATAGAAATCCTAACTTTAAGCTAAATGTGGTAGTATGTCTTTCTCCCTTTGGAAACAGTGTCAGAGCTTTTTAAACACCTGGTGGACACCTTTCCCCTTCACTTTTCAAGCTGACATTCTTTCCTCAGGGCTGTGAAATGATCTGATAGGGAGAATCAGGTGTTGGCCCTTGTCCCAGAAATTTGAGAACCAGTCAGAACAGGTACTACCTGTGAAAATGTAAATACCTGGGGAGATCAGGACCTTTAAGAAAGTAAGGACCAGACTGCTTTCTATAATCACAAGCAAGATCAAAAGAAAGTTTTGTGACCAGACAGAGAAACAGGGAGGGAAGTCAACAGTATCTGTATGCCAGGCACTGTTCTTACACTTTCTTTTTAATATACTCACTGTTGTGTTTTGATACACAAAGAGTTAAGGGGCAAAGAAGTTTACCTATCTCCTGAGAAACCAGTATGCAGTTCAGGAAGACACAGTTAGAATCGGAAATGGAACACGAGACTGGTTCAAAATTTGGAAAGGAGTACACCAGGTTGTATATTGTCACCCCACTTATTTAACATATGCAGAGTACATTATGCAAAATGCCAGACTGGATGAAGCACAAGCTGGAATCAAGATTGCGTGAAGGAATATCAACAATTTCAGATATGCAGATGATACCACTCTAATGGCAGAAAGCGAAGAAGAATTACAGAGCCTCTTGATAAGAGTAAAAAAGGAGAGTGAAAAAGTTGGCTTAAAACTCAATATTCAAAAAACTAAGATCATGGCATCTGGTCCCATCACTTTATGGTAAATAGATGTGGAAAAGTAGAAACAGTGACAGATTTTATTTTCTTGGGCTCCAAAATCACTGCAGATGGTAACTGCAGCCAGCCACAAAATTAAATAACACGTGCTCTTTGGAAGAAAATTAAATAACACTTGGTCCGTGGAAGAAAAGCTATGACAAACCTAGACAGCATATTAAAAAGCAAAGACATAATTTTGCCCACAAAGGTCCATATAATCAAAGCTATGGCTTTTTCCAGTAGTCATGTATGGATGTGAGGGTTGGACCATAAAGAAGGCTGAGTGCCGAAGAACTGGTGCTTTCAAACTGTGGTGTTGGAGAAGACTCTTGAGAGTCTCTGGGACAGCAAGGAGATCAAACCAGGAAATCAACCCTGAATATCCATTGAAAGGACTGATGCTAAAGCTGAAGCTCCAATACTTTGGCCACCTGACACAAATAGCTGACTTATTGGAAAAGTCAGCTGGGAAAGATTGCTGGGAAAAGATTGAGGGCAAGAGAAGGGGGTGGCAGAGGATCAGATGGTTAGATAACATCACTGACACAATGGACATGAGTTTGAGCAAACTCTGGGAGATAGTGAAGGACAGAGAAGCCTGGTGTGCTGCATTCCATGGGGCCGCAAAGAGTCGGACACAACTTAGCAACTGAACAACAGCAGCAGCAGCAGCAGAGCTAATACATTCAGCAATAAGAATCAAGATTCACATCCATGTCTAACAGACTATATCAAAAACATGCAACTTTTACATAGGATTTGGAGTGGAACAAAGAGCGGTGGTAAACAGCCAAGAATATAGAAGTAAAAGGCAGAAACTCAGAATTTTATCAAGCAGTGGTCCTCTGACACTGACTGAGATTAACTTTCTATTGCAACATCCCTAAGATGGCACAGAACAATCCAAATGAACTTTCTGGCCAACCCATTCCTTTTCTATTCTTGCAAGATTTAAGTAACTTTGTTTTAACTTTATATAATCTTTGTAACCCCAAAAAAAGACACTTTCTTTCATGTCGATGTAAAAAATGAGGTTATAAAAATTCCTTGGTGGTCCAGTGGTTAGGACTCAGGGCTGCCATTGCCACAGACCTGGTTTCAACCCCTGGTTGGGGAATTAAGATCCTGCAAGTTGCACACAGGCTCAAAAAAAAAAAAAAAAAAGTTTGACATACACACAATACTTTATGGGCTCCCCTTGTGGCCCAGATGGTAAAGAATCTACCTGAATACAGGAGATCTAGGTTTGATCCCATGGTTTAGAAGATCCCCTGGAGAAGGAAATGGCTACCCACTCCAGTATTTCTGCCTTAAGAATTCCACATACAGAGGAGCCTAGCAGGCTACAGTCCATGGGCGTGCAAGTCAGACATGACTGAATGACTAAGCACAGCACAGCACATTTAGAAAAGTCACAGAAAACTGGTAAAAGGTCTGACCCCAAATGGCCATCTTCTACATACTTTCCTCATTTCCCCCATCCTTACTCAAAGTGCTCAGCACTTTAATAAAAAAGATAAATATCTATTGAATCAATAAATGAACCTATCACAAATACACAACTATTTTCTGTTTTTTCATAAAGTAAATTAAGGGGCCATCCGCCACTTGAGCACAAACAAATAAGAAGGCAGGTTCAGGACACAGGAAACCAATGTCAAGATGTCACAGAGGACCATTTTAGTTTTCCTGTGTAAGCATCCAAGAATGTGACTCACAAACTCCTTGCTTGTGGCTAACATGAATTTTAACTAATTCAAAACATTTCTTTACATAGGACTTCAGGGATGCCTAAGGTGTTTCCAAACTTCTGAGAGTAGTTGTGTTTCATTTCACCAATTTGAGGGGAGGAGAGAGTGGTAGATTCAGGAAGTAATGGAAAAGTCCCAGAGAAGAATCTTTTAAAGAGCCCACACTGAAAATCACAGCAAACTTTCAGAAACGTCAGTGTGCTGTTTGGCAACTTTTCAGTAGTGAAGAGAATGCTGGGGGGTGGGGAATGGGTATCAAAGTGAAAGTCAAGAGAAAAAGGCCCGGTCTGGCCACTTCTCCCTCCCAAAATACCGTTCTCTATGAGCTCGAGAGAAGATCCCAAAGGAACGTCAACACTTGTGATACTGCTATTAACTTTATCCTTGGAGTTTCGTGTTAATTATCACGGAAAGCCATGATGCTTTAATTTCAGTCTCAGAGATTAGTCCAAGTGAGCTAAGGGGACTGAGACAGACAACTACAAAACAACCACAAGACAGACAACTACAGAGAGGTTAAGGGTAATCGCAGTTTTCTGCCAGGTCAAGTGACTAAAGGGGACACATGCCAGCTGTCAAACTCCCAGCTAACTCTACAGATTTCGAAAAATCTGAAATAAGCTCTTTGAGCTTGGAGCCTGTGACCCTTGAAAGTGGCTCTCAAGTTCCTGCTGAAAAGGTAGAATTTGGCCCCAAGATTCCGCAAGGGCAGTTCTAGATCTAGTCCTTCTCTTCCTGGCTCGCTCCCTTTCAGCATAAAGTCCTAGCTGCTTCCACCCTTGATCATTCCTTACTTACCCTTTCTCCCGTTCTTCCTCGGTGAGAAGGGGTAAGTGGTTATTTTGTGCCCTCTCCCAATTTGGCCAAAACCCTAAAAGTAAAAATGACAAACACGTGTTTTAAAACCCTGACGTGCAAGCCTCAGGAACTCCCACCACCTGCCCAACACGTCCAGTGTCTCCACAGCGCTCCCTCACGGCCAGACTCTGGGCCCGAGTTGTCCCCTCTGCTAGCGGGTACAAGAGAGGGCGCGATACGGGGCGCCCGCCCGGCGGGGAACGGCGGGCCGGCTCTAGGCCAGACTAGCTCTTTCCCGGCTCGGGTTTCCTACTGGAATTAACAGGAGGAGGAAGGGGCCGAGGGGGCCAGGTCCGCTGCCCCGCGGAGCCTCAGATAAACACGCGCACGCACACATGCCCGCGATCACAGCCAAGGACTCGCGGCCAAGCAGCCCTCTGCCTCCCAGCAAAGCCCTTCCCCTCTGGGGCTAAGTCCCCGGGAAGGGTCCCAAGCCCTGGGGACCACCAAGTGGCTGCGGCAGCAGCGCGCCTGCCCACCCCCGCCAACCTCACAGCCCCCGACTCGCCTCCCGGCGCCCGCCCTCCGCACCCGCTGCGCCGCTCAGCCCCAGGGACGTCCCCGCGCGGGCCCCGCCCTCCGCCGGAGGCAAGCTCCGCCCCCGCCCCCTGCGAGCATAAGCCACGCGAAGCTCCGCCCCGGCGGTAAAGCTGCGCTTCCGAATGCCTGCGCGGGTTAGGTCCAAAACCCGGCCTGGATCTGCAGCGGATCAAAAATAACCCTTGCTTAGCGCTAGCTCTGAGGAGGACCCACTCCAGTGTTCTTGCCTGGAGAATGCCAGGGACCGGGGAGCCTGTTGGGCTGCCGTCGGTGGGGTCGCACAGAGTCGGACAAGACTGAAGCGACTTACCAGCAGCAGCAGCAGCAGCAGCGCCAGCTCTGAGCTCTGAGTTCTGCATTGTACTATCCGCTGAGAGGGCGACAAAGAGTTGAAAATGTATGAAACTGTGGCTCCATCCTCTCCCCTCCTTTACAGGTGAGGAAACCGAGAGCCCAGCCGTTGCTTTGAGTGCACAGCTATGGGGACAAACTACCTTATAGGGACAACTCCCCTCTGGAAGCCTCATTATGGCCTTGTTTCTGCTAAAATGGGCACAGGAAAAGGATTAATCCAGAACAAGTGGTTTACTTTGGAGAAACTGGAATTTCATACCTAAGCTTTTGCCGTCAAATGACAAACTCTTAACTGGGTTTTTAAAACTTTCAAAGAAAGTGGAACTTGCAATTAAGTTTTCCCTGTATTCTCTTTCTGGATACTGACGAACTGGTCTGTGCAAATCATTCAAGATAAATCAAAGGACAAGACACTCTAGTACTTAGGGTTCAAAACTAATTATAAAGGTTTAAAAACCTCCTCAGAGACTTAGATGAACCTGATAGCTAGAACTTGGAGAATCTTCTGAATCTTCCCAGGTGGCTCAGAGATTAAGATTCCAACGCCAGTGCAGGAGACTCGGGTTCAGTGTCTGGGTCGGGAAGAGCCCCTGGAGAAGGAAAGGGGCAACCCACTCAAGTATTCCTGCCTGAGAAATCCCGTGGACAGACGAGCTTGGCGGGCTAACAGTCCATAGGGCCACAAGGAGTTGGACACCACTTAGCAACTAAGCAAGAACCACAAGTTAAGTAGACGGAGTTCCTGGCAACCAGGAGCTGACAGTCTGGAATGGAATATATGCGCACCAACAAGACAGGTGTGTGGTTTTTATTATAATGGAATGTAATTGAACATACACAGAGAGTTGCTAAGTCTGACCTGCCACAAAGATTCATCAAATGTACTTCCCTGGTGGCTCAGATGGAAAAGCGTCTGCCTACAATGCGGGAAACCTGGGTTCGATCCCTGGGTTGGGAAGATCCCCTGGAGAAGGAAATGGCAACCCACTCCAGTCCTCTTGCCTGGAAAATTCCGTGGATGGAGGAGCCTGGCAGGCTTCAGTCCATGGGGTTGCAAAGAGTCAGACACGACTGAATGGCTTCACTTAAGAAACTGAAGCCATGGTACCCACGAACCTATTTGCAGGGCAGGAATAGAGACACAGACATAGAGAACAGACTTGTAGACAAGGAGGAAGGTGAGGGTGGATGAACTGAGAAGGTAGCACTGATTCATCTACACTCCCATATGTAAATTAGATAGCTAGTTAGTGGGACTCTTTGTATAACACTGGGAGCTCACCTGGGTGCTCTGTGATGACCTAGAGGGGTGGTGTGGGGGTTAGGGTGGAGGTGGGGTGGGAGGGAGGATCAAGAGATTAGGGATATACATATATACTTGGCTGATTTGCATTGTCATACAGCAGAAATCAACACAACATTGTAAAGCAAATATCCTCCAATAAAAATGTATTTAAAAATAAAGTATGAATAAAAAATTCTAAAAAAGAAGCTGAGGTAATCTGAAAAGGCTATGGTATACTATTTGAGTCCAACTATCTGACACTCTGGAAAAGGCAAAACAATGGAGACAGTCAAAGGATCTGTGGTTGACAAGGGTTATGATGGAAGAAGGTACAAATAAGCAGAGCACTAGTCAAACCCCATGGAATGGATAACACCAAGAGTGAACCTGTTGTAAACTGCAGACTGGGTGATAGTGATGTGTCAATGTGGGTTCCTCGGTTGTAACAAATGTACCATTTGGGTGCTGAGATGTTGGTAGTTGAGGAGGCTGTGCAGGTGTGGGGTGTCTGTAGTTTCTGCTCAATTTTGCTGTGAACATAAAACTGGTCTTTAAAAAAGAAATAGACTTTTAAAGAAAAAGAAGATGGGATAAAACCTCAGAACATCCCATATTCTTCAAATTCATCAGTTAAATTCCAAACAGGATATTTGGCTTCCTGTGTGGAGTTGCCTTCCATTCAGCATTAATGACATCAGGAAGAAAATGAATCATCTATTCCTGCTGCTGCTAAGTCACTTCAGTCGTGTCCGACTCTGTGCGACCCCATAGACGGCAGCCCACCAGGCTCCCCCGTCCCTGGGATTCTCCAGGCAAGAACACTGGAGTGGGTTGCCATGCCCTCCTCCAGGGGATCTTCTTATGACTGGCATCTCTTATGTCTTCTGCATTGGCTGGCAGGTTCTTTACTGCTAGCACCACCTAGACAGCCCATTCCTATTCATACGTACTTACAATTAGTAAGCAAATAGTGCAAGATATCATAGAATAAATGTTCTTGAAATTCTTGGTTTCAAGATCTCTTTACATTCTTAAAAATAAGGGCTTTAAAGAGCTTTTGTTTGTGCTGGTTACGTATGTCCCTATTTACTGTATTAAAAATTAACAGAAAATATAAATGTATGTTTATTAACTCATTTTTAAGATAATAAACCCATTTTGTTTATGCCAAAGAATATTTTTTAATGGTGACTACATTAAAAAAATTAGTGAGAAAAATGGGTTTCTTCACGTCTTTTGCAAGTCGGTTTACTCTCTGTCATGAGAGACCTGGAAGCTCACATTTTGATTCTGCATTCAGTCTGTTGTGATATGTTGTAATAGCTAAGATATTATGGAGAAAATTGGCTCTCAATCAAATTCCTGGTTGAAAAAGGAAAGACCTTGAAAATCCTGTAAAAGTGTCTCAAAAAACCCCAAGGGTCCTCAGACCTCACTTTGAAAATTGCTGCCAGGTAGCATGCATTCCCACACCAGAGTTTACTAACACCTGAAATTATAGCCCTTCACTTATTCCAAGTTAAAACTCTAACTTGACAGATAACATCAAACCCATCCCATTTCTGAATTTTTTTCAAAGCTTTTACTATAGCAACTCTGATGAAATTTATATTCTTTTTGTGTACATATAAAAACATTTGAGATTTCATTATATCCTTCATTACAAACATTTTTGGGAAATTTTTAATATAAATTGTGCCGTCTAGAAAAATGAAACATTGATATATGGTTATTAACCAATTTAGGCATACTTATAATGAACAACGCACATCTTCTTTTACATAAGTGATGTAAAAGTGAACTTAAAAATAAAACTGGCAATTACAGTATTTATTACCTAAATAAATACTAGGTTCTAAAGTTATTGCCTTGAAATAAAACTTTATATGTATAAGCTTTCATTTTTACTACAAATGAAATAACTTAAGTCATCCATTGTGAATTTTTAATACAATTTCCAACTAAAAGGCACCTGGGCCACTCAGAGGAGTGTCTGATTTCAGCTCTGGGGGGAATACATACAAAAGACAAATGTGATATCTTGTGACACAAACAAAGGAATCCATTCACAATAAATAAGTGTGTCAAAAGGTGACTGAAACCAAATCAAAGGGTCTCTTTGGCTAAAGATGGGACAATCAAAAAAAGTAATAAATACTGTTGTTTGAAACACATTCAGTATATGAAAATCTATGAATTCTTAATCATGCTTCAAAGGAGGGAGACAAAAATAAACAAACAAAAAATTCACTAGACACTATTTCAAGTAACTAGGGCACACACCCCTTATTCTAAAATTGTCAATTAAAAGAATTAGAACTTTCACTGTCTTTCTTGATTTAATTGTATTTCAGAAAACCAAATGGTTGTTGAGGGTAAGTTTTTTTTTTACAATACATGAAAGAAATTTCCAGAATTGGAAGGACCAAACAACATGGTTGTCTGCGGAGGCCTCACAAATAGCTAAGAAAAGAAGAGAAGCTAAAGGCAAAGGAGAAAAGGAAAGATATACCCATCTGAATGCAGAGTTCCAAAGAATAGCAAGCACAGATAAGAAAGCCTTCCTCAGAAATCAATGCAAACAAATAGAGGAAAACAATAGAATGGGAAAGACTAGAGATCTCTTCAAGAAAATTAGAGATACCAAGGGAACATTTCAGGCAAAGATGGGCTCGATAAAGGACAGAAATGGTAGGGACCTAACAGAAGCAGAAGATATTAAGAAGAGGTGGCAAGAACACAGAACTATACAAAAAAGATCTTTTTGTATATCTGACCCAGATACCAAGATGGTGTGATCACTCACCTAGAGCCAGACAATCTGGAATGTGAAGTCAAGTGGGCTTTAGGAAGCATCACTACAAACAAAGCTAGTGGAAGTAACGGAATTGCAGTTGAGCTATTTCAAATCCTAAAAGATGATGCTGTGAAAGTGCTGCACTAGTATGTCAGCAAATTTGGAAAACTCAGCAGTGGCCGCAGGACTGGAAATGGTCAGTTTTCATTCCAATCCCGAAGAAAGGCAATGCCAGAGAATTTTCAAACTACCACACAATTGCACTCTTCTCACACGCTAGCAAAGTAATGCTCAAAATTCTCCAACCAGGCTTCAGCAAAATCATGAACTTCCAGATGTTCAAGATGGATTTCGAAGAGGC